GCTTGAGCCCAGGAGTTGGAGGTTGCTGTGAGCGTGATGCCACGGCACTCTACCCAGGGGGATAGCTTGAGGTTCCATCTCAAAAAAAAAAAAAAAAAAGAGTGTTGAGGCAAGAGAAGTTTCTTCATTGCTACTTTTCTATGTTATTTGAATGCTTCATAATAAACCATGCATCATTTTTATTTAAATCATAATTTTTCTTTAAAAAAAGCCTTAAGCCTGTGTTCCAAAATTTTAATAATAGTTAATTTTTGGTTATAGAAATATGGATGCTGTTTTTCTCCTTATACTTTTCTACTTTTTTTAAATGGGAGGAAAGTAATTTTAAAAATTAATGAGTCTTTTGCAAAATGGAGTAATACTTAGACATTAGTATTTATTCCTTACAAGATGCAAGCTTTTTCTGTAGACAGATAATATTTTAGAGTTATAGGCCATATGGTCTCTGTTAAAACTAGTCACCTCTGCCATTAATTACAGTGCAGAAGCACCCATAGACAGTGATGTAGATGAATGTGTATGGCCATGTTCCAAAAAATCTTTTTGACAAAAAGACAGGTTTTGTATAAATTTGCTGACTCTTGCTATAAAACACATTTTTGCCAAAGTGTTTTCACAGAGCAGAGAAAGTTTACAGCTGAGTGTGTTTATGAGTGTGCTGTACAGCCCCGGCCTGTGAGGGTGTTCTGATTCTCCTTGTTACTGCTGCTCCCTAGATGCTGCATAACATGAAAGGACAGTTTGCTGAGCATCTTCTCGGAGCTGGATTTGTAACCAATCGAAACCCTAAAGATCCAGAATCCAATATAAATTCAGGTACGGCAGAAAAGATAGTGTGTGTAACTTCCTACTGTTGTCTGCTTATCAGTATTTTATACTTTATTTTTCCTCTACCTTTCCATCTCCAATAGATAATGAGAAGATAATTAAAGCTGTCATCTGTGCTGGTTTATATCCCAAAGTTGCTAAAATACGACTAAATTTTGGTAAAAAAAGAAAAATGTAAGCATTGAAGATTATTGTGAATTACTTGTAACTCTCTTCATAATCTTTTGAACTCTAGTGTAACAGGGCTTATATTGTAAATGTGTTCTTATTCACATTTGGGCCATATTTTTGTTCTTTACTTTTGGTGCTTTACAAGAAGACAGACTGTGTAGCATAAACATTACTTCCCTTCGCAATGCATCCTGGAATCACCTCTCTGATCACCCATTCTCAAAGAATGCAAAAACATGATACCAGTGTAAACAGTAGGAAAGTCAGGCAGCTGTTAAAAACCAATACCTGGGTAGAAATTGCTTGGAGGAGATTTTGTTTCAGGAACTTTTTTTCCTCTTATTAAAATGGATAATTTTGTAGCTTAGTTCTTCAAGTAAAACTGTGGTATTTTGGCTATTTTCAGAACTAAAGTATAATGTGTGTACAAATAGCCTCAGTAGTAATTGGAGACAACAGCAAGGCATGTTTTTGCCTAATAAATGAGCTTATCTAGTAAGGATAAAGAAACTAAGACTCACAAGGGCCTAGTGTTATCATTGCCACCTTTTTGGAAGGCACTCTAGCCTAAAATCATGTATCAAGGATCATGTATAATAGTCATTGACTCAGTGCATTGCTAAGTATTTTACTTGAGGAATATGTCCTAAGGAAGAAATTCCAGATGTTTTTTAACAGCTGTATTACAAACAACCTAGATGTCTAGTAGCAATGGAGAAATCATGGTTTTATAATACTACATTAGTTGACATGTCAGTAGGTGGGCAGATAAACAGTCATTGGGTAGTAATATGTAAAAATATTTGAATTAATGTTAAATAGAAAAGTCAGGTACCCTGTGATTATAAACGTGATAAAATATAGACTTTAAAAGTAGACCAAAGTGTAAACATTGTTCTTAGGCTGTGGTTCTCAACTTGGGTGACTTTTGCACCTCAGGGAACATTGTCATTGTCATAACTGGGGGGTACTATTAATGTCTACTAGATAGGGGCCAGGAATGCTTTTAAACATCTATCTTATAATGCACAGGAAAGCCCCCCTCCAAACGAATTACGCAGTTCAGTGTGTCAGTAGTGCTGAGATTAGAGAAACCCTATTCTAAGGCAAGAGATTATGGGTAACAGAGTTTTAATAATTGTGGTTAACTGATTCAAGTACTTTTTGACTTGCCAAATTCTTTTCTGTACTGATACCTAACTTTATAGGTGGCTTAACAGAAACTCTCTGAAATGCACTTCATCACCACCTTCTGCCATTCTGGCTTTATGAAAAAATGTAGTTCTTTTTTGGATTGGTGCTTTGTCAGAAAGTTGTGGCCTTTGAGCTTGTATTTTGAACATTTTTTATGCCCATTTGTTTATGTTTTCCTGCTAGGCTAGCAGATTTAAGTGGCTATGACAGATTAAAGAGCCCCACAATGTGGAGCACTAAATATTTACTCCATGGTCCTGTACAGCAATTTGCCAACTCCTGCTGCTCTAGTCACACAAGGTTGCAAGGTAGCATTGGTTAAAGTGACTTTGGAGTGAGAAAATATAATTTCTGGTTTTATTCTAGATAATGTATCATGACTATGATTCATGATTTTGGTACAAGTGTTATGAATTCCTAGAACCTCAAAAAAATGCTCTTAAAGACAAATATGAAGGATTGATGGATTAGGTTTTATATTGTCTAATACAGGTATTACCATTAACTATTTAAAAATCAACCATCAAATGTCTCCTTGTTGATGGTTAATTGATTAATATTAAAGACTTATAAAATGTATATGACATATGACTGTCAAAAGACCCTAGGAATTGAGAGACTGAACTAAAACTGTGTCAATGTTTATTTAAACAGAATTTGTCATTTTTTATTTCATATTCATCTGGGTATGTACCCTGTAAAATTTTTAAATCAATCATTTTACAAAGTTGAGAACTATTTATCAATACCACGTTTGTCATAGTAAATGTCTACACTGTCCTCTTGATCTAACTCACTTAATTATTTTTCATCTTTATTTTGGTGTTTATCCTTCAGTGGTATATAGTAACAAAATGAAGGAAAGAGATATTGTTACTTCTCAAATATATTGAGTAATTATACGTACAATAAGAGGAATAGTTACATGATTTAAAGTATTCTTATTTAGCTAGTATTTTTCCATACATTATTTTTAAAATTATGATCTTTCCTCAAATATAATTTATAAATTTACTTTTTACAAAAATAAATGAAATTCAACTGTCAAAGTTTTAAGATTCTAGGGTTGGGTTTTCACCAAGCCCTTCTATGAGTTTGTGAAGTAGTTCAGTTTAAAAAAAAAAGAAGAAGAGAGAGAGAGAGACACTCCTAGGAGGAGGACTCTTTTTAATAGACTGCATTTTAAATTTTTTTTAAAGGGTGAAAGTTTACACAAAAACGGATGGCGTAGTTGCTATTCATCCTAAATCTGTGAATGTGGAGCAAACAGACTTTCACTACAACTGGCTTATCTATCACCTGAAGATGAGAACAAGTAGTGTAAGTAAACATTGTAAATAATCAAGGATCTGAATAGCGGATATATTTGTAATTGTATAGTTTTCACAATTTTTTTTTTTTGTTTATTTTTTTTTTAAGACAGATTCTTACTATGTCACCCTGGGTAGAGTGCCATGGTGTCACAGCTCAGAGCAACCTCAAACTCTTGGGCTTAAGCAATTCTCTTGCCTCAACCTCCCAAGTAGCTGGGACTACAGACACCTGCCGCAACGCCCAGCTATTTTTTTTTTTGTTGTTGCAGTTGCATTGTTGTTTAGCTGGTCCAGGCTGGGTTCGAACCCACCAGCCTGGGTGTTCATGGCCAGCGCCCAAACCACTGTACTACAGGCACCAAGCTAGTTTTCACAATTACAAACAAAATTTTTTATGCTTTTTCTTCTGACATGAATTATAATTGTTTTCCTTAAGTAAATAACCTATACTTCTAATTTACAGCTTTATTATGATGGGTCTTTGTATTTTAATTAATCAGGGTAATTGCATAATTTTCTTCTAGTGCCTGCTTTTGAGAAATAACTGGCATATTTTATGGTATATAGGAGTTTATACTGTGTAAACAAATATGTTGGCATGCCACTATGCCTTATAAATATTAGTCAGAATATTAAGTGGGATTCTATTTATATTTTTCTCTTTGAAAAAATAATTTTAAATGATTTTTAAAATACTGGATATATAGTTAAAAATAATTATACATTAGTGTCTTGGTTTTGTTACTCAGAAAATACTTTGTTTGAAGAGTTGTGCTATAGTTTAAATTAAAACAAAAGTATTAAACACCTGTGTTCCCAGCTCATGAAGAATGGCTCATTTCTTTGTATTAATCTCTAATTACACTAGCAAGTTAATCCATATTTTAGAAGGAAGGTACTATTGATTGGTACTGGTAAGATTGTTGAATTAATGTAGTAATAACCCTTTCAGACTCCTGAACGTATTGATTCACTATAATTTTAATTACAGATATACTTATATGACTGCACAGAGGTTTCGCCATACTGTCTCTTGTTCTTTGGAGGTGATATTTCTATCCAGAAGGATAATGATCAGGAAACTATTGCTGTAGATGAATGGATTGTCTTTCAGTCTCCAGAAAGAATTGCCCATCTTGTTAAGGTGACTGTCTTTATGTGTATATGTATGTCAGTGTGTGATTCTGTGGTTTTGTTCCAAAAGTTATACATATATTAGCACTTCTTGCTCTACTTCTAGCAGAGCAAATAATATTGAGAAATTGGTTCAGTTTTTCCAAATTATTTTTGGACGTGGTATCAGACTTCCAAATGGCTCGATGTGCTTGAAGTTTGAATTCACCCTTTAGTGGGTTGCTCACTAAATATTTCAGTCTTCTATGAAGTGGCTTGTACTGACTTTATCAATCAGCCAGAATCGGTTTTCTTTATTAGATTGTTTGACAATAACATCTGCCTTGGTTGAACATGTATAATTTCTTCAACCTTAGGAATTAAGAAAGGAACTAGATACTCTTCTGCAAGAGAAGATCGAAAGTCCTCATCCTGTAAATTGGAAGGATACTAAGTCCAGAGACTGTGCAGTACTGTCAGCTATTATAGACTTGATCAAAACTCAGGAAAAGGCAACTCCCAGGAACTTTCCACCATGATTCCAGGATGGATATTGCAGCTGACAACTTGACAACTTTTCTGTGGTGGCCTAAAAAGCCAGTTTGACAGCCATCCCCATCATAGTTTTAAATTTTTGGCAAGATGTCAAACCCTGGGACATGACTAATTTTCCTTTGTAAGGTAGAAATCTTCAGTAGGTAGTAAAGACTTAATGTGCATGATTTAATGATACCTGTAACTATTATAAATATACCATAAAAAGCAGTATGTTCTCTGGTCATATACTCTGTTGTGGTATATCGACAGTATATTCCCCTCATATAAATTGAGTATTGTACCACTTGAGAAATTTCTTTGTTCTGTTATACAAAATTAGTCTTTCTATCCATAATGATTTGAGTATGGATCCAGTAAAAATAGAATGGTTAGCCAAAAAGCAGTGTCAAGTAAGCATTTGAATATAACCATATTTTTTAAATGAAACTTCTATCAGAAGTAAATTAAGTTGTTGTAATAAAGTTCATTATTTAATAAAATGTACAATGTGTAAATCTCAGCTAACTTCTTGGGTTTGTTTCCACATGTACACTTAACTCTTGGCTTATTTGATACTTTTACTCTTTTTAAAATCTGTATGTACCCTCTTACATGGCCCTCTGTAGCATAATGTAGCAATTCAGAACTTGGGTCTGGAGCCTGACTACTTCAGTTCTAGCCTCAGCTTTGTCACTTGATGTCTTGGACAAGTTAGTTGGCTTCTTTTTGTTTCCTTTTCATTGTCTGTAAAATACAGTTGACCTGTCGAATCTGTGGGTTTCACATCCATGGATTCAACCAACCATGAATTGAAAATATTCAGGAGAAAAAATAGATGGTCTTGTGTACTAAACATTGTACAGACTTTTCTTCCTTGTCACTCTTCCCTAAGTATAGCATAGTAACTGTTTGTGTGGCACTTAACCTTGTGTTAGGGAGTATAAGGAATGTAGAGATGATTTAAAGCATTCAGGAGGATGTGTCTAGTTATATGCAAATACTGTGCCTTTTATATAAGGGACCTGAGCATCTGGGGATTTTAGTATCCATGGGGGCCTGGAGCCAACTATCTAGGTAACACTTTTGAGGATGAAGTCTTAGTATGTGTCAAGCCCATAAGCTAGTGTCTGGCCCATAGGGTGTCCCTCTGCATCTCAATTATTATTCATCCCTGAAACACTGCACTGTCTAACCATCCATTATAATACGCTTTCTTTCACTGCTGCTTTGCCTGCTTAGCCATGGAAGCTAGTGTGACAACCTGTGCTGCACCTTTCCAGCCCTGTCAGATCGTGGTGTACTATGCTTGTTCAGCCACTTTGTCCCTGGCTTCTTGCTTGCTTGTTCCCGTGGTTCCCCCTGCTGCTCAGCTCTGTGCCAGGTATGTTGGACCCTCTTTTCAAATCAGGTTGTTCTGAGCCAGTCATATGTGGTCTTATTCCGTTGTAAGTAATTGGTGAGGTGTGTGCATGTGAACCTCTCCTGGCCAGTGGCAACTGAGAAGTAATCTTCAAGGGGGTGTCTGAGAAAGACTTTTCTCACTGGTAGACTCAGAGGAGGAAATAACTTTCTTTAGACATTGTTTTGTCTGGCTCTGATGCTGAGAACTGCTGCAGCCAACCTAGATCACAGGTGAACACAACTGTAACTCAAGTTGGCTCAGTGGAAGGATAGAACTCACTAAAGTTCTTAATGTTGCTGGTGAGCTGCAGAATTAACCAGCTCTGGAACTGCTCTACACATGAACTTAATTTTGATAAAATAAAAGCCCATCATTGCTTAAACTACTTCTAGTAGGGTATATTTAAACACGCAAAAAGTATATTAACTAAAACTTACACTGTCCATCATTGAGTATTAACTAGCTGACACCTCTATCTCTACTATTTATTTTCTGATGTAACAGTTTTGATCCATGTCTGGCAAAAGTGCTGGACATACTACAAAAAACAGGAACAGCATCCTTCTGTGCCCTAAAAGATGCAAGTTGTATTGTGCCTTCTGAGAAATGCAAGAAAACCAAAGGAATAAGTATCATACAATTGCTGGGATGTATCGATAATGCTACAGTAATCTGTTAGCCGCACTGGTTCGGGTGCTGTTCCCATTTCTGGGCATGTAGGCCCCTTGACATTGCCTGCCAGGGGTGTCAGTCAGTGTGTCCTAAGTCCATTTTTTTGGCTCCGCTTCTCCCCAGAGTGGTCTCTCTCACTGAATTCTGGCATTGAGTCATATCATAATGTTGTATTACAGCATACTAGTTTTGCTCCTGAAGTCAAGGTCACCATCTGTTCTAGTCTTGCTCTATAAGAGTATGTTTATCTTTGTGCTTTTTTCTTTGCTTTTATTATCCAGTTTCAATTCACAAAGTGACTTGGCCAAAATAGACTCTGAAGAAAGCATTTAAAGATTCTGCTATCTTGAATTGGGGAAATAAAGGAGGACAGAAATTGTATAAAGATTCTCTAGAAAAGATTGTTAGTTGGTTCACTGTTTACAAACCAATCTCCCTATGAATGGGGAAAGTGTTGCTGAATACTTAATAAAGTATTCAGGAGGTTAAAGTGTAATTACTGTTGCCTCCAATTTGTTTTCTCTATAGCTAATCAGGATGGAACTTCTAATTCAAGGTGCTATTTGCTGTTTTTTTGTTGTTTTCAAAATATGGGCATTACTGAGTGGAAAATGCATTTCAGATCTAAGAACTATTGGTTCTGTAGTTGTTTTAAAGAATAAGGGAAAATCTATGTTTCCCTATTCTTAGCAATACAGAGGATAACTTATTTTTTTATTTGGATCTTTTAGGATTTTATTTTTTTACTTCAGATTAATGTAAGGGTACAGATGATGAGGTTACAGTTTTTGCATGTTAGGTACAGTCCCTGCTGTAGTTGTGTCCCATACTCAACATAACTCTTGAAAAAAAATGGAACCCTCAAACAGAAACTTGCCAGGAAAAAACTAAAGAAATAAAACAACAATGATCTCTAAAAGTGCATCTTTAAAAGTGAGTATATGTGATACCTTCCTAGTTAACTAATTTGGGCAAAAACTCTAAATAAACTTATACCAATTATTACAAGTCATTCTCTGTCCTGACTGAATTTTTAAAGTCCACTCTAAAAGTTATGAATTTTAGAAAAATTTTAAGACAAATTTATCCTCACCCAGAATAAATAGTGGTAAATGTTCTTCTGGTCTTTTCTCTGAGTTTGTGTTTACTTACAAGTCATTGTGTAGCACTCTGGGAGGCCAAGGCAGGTGGATTGCCTGAGCTCACAGGTTCGAGACCACGCTGAGCCACAGTGAGACCTCATCGCTAAAAATAGCGGGGTGTTGTGGTGGTTACCTATAGTCCCAGTTACTTGGAAGGCTGAGGAAAGAGAATCGCTTCAGCCCAAGAGTTTGAGGTTGCTGTGAGCTATGATACCATGACACTCACTCTATGGAGGGTGACAAAGTGACACTCTGTCTCAAAAAAAAAAAAAAAAAGGTAGACCAACCTGAATATGGGTGAAACCCTGTCTCTAAAAAAATTATGTAAGTCATTGTGATTATGTTGTATGTCATATATTTGTAATATACTAATTGTTTCTAAATGATATTTTTATTCTAATTTTAAAATAATCCATACTGAAGGATATTTGGACAAAGTAAATCATCTTACCATTTTTACATTTTGGTATATTCCCATAGTTCCTGTTAAGCTTTAAGGTATTATTTCATATGTAATAAAATAACCAACTTCAGTGTGTAATTCACCACATTTTGTTAGGTGTATAAAGTTACCTGATCACTACCCCCACAACCTCAGTACAGAGCCTACCACCTCCTAAAGATGCCATTGTTTTCGTAGTCAGTCCCTTGCTCCAGCTTCTCTCCAGCAGCCATCAATCCGTTTTAAGTCACGACTTAGCTTTGCCTTTTCTAGAGTCCACATAAATTTTGTGTTCAGCTTCTCTCACTTCACATGATGCTTCTGAGTTACGTCATTGCCTGTGTTAGTAGTTAGTCGCTTTTTACTGTTTAGCAGTATTGCATTGTATGGTTACGCTGCAGTGTTACTCATTTACCAGGTGATGGACATTTGAGCTATTTTTGATGTTTTGCTATTATCAATAAAGCTGCTGTGAACATGTATGTACACGTCTTGGTGTGGTCGTATGTTTTCATTTCTCAGGAGTAAATACCTAGGATTTAATAACATTGCCATACCATATATGGTGTGTTTAACTTTGTAGGAAACTGCCAAACTGTGTTCAGAATTTTCTATACCATTTTACCCTCTCAGCAGCCGTGTGTAAAGGGTCAAAGTGTTTCACATCCTCGCCACTACTTCGTATTTTTAGCTATTGTTTCATTTTAGCCTTTAATGAACATGGAGTCCTGTGTCATTTTGGTTTTAACCTGTGTATTTCTTTAATAAGTAATGAGCATCTCTTGATGTGCTGTTTTCCTTAGTTGTCTTATTTCCGTATGGTTTTTAATTTTCTACCTTATATGGTAAATGATAAGGGTTTAAGGATATATCTGCCTCTATCTTGACAAACACATTCATATTGACAGAAAATGGTATTTATGAAACAAAGTGTCAAAGATGAATTTTAGCCCTGGTTTACTCTGCTTTTTTCCAAATATTTTTTGCACATTTTTATATAAACATTGAGGTTTTTTTTTATTAATATGGTAGATTGCTGCCTCAATTACTTTTTGGTGCTATATTAATACCATAAACTGAGTAACCTGAAAAGAAATTTATTTCTTAGCATTCTGAATTCCAGGAGCATGGTACTGGCATCTGGTGAGGACCTTGGGTGTCACCACAGGGCAGAGGGGTTCGAGGTGAGAGGGAGGAGTGTGTGTGTCAGCCCACGTCTTCCTCTTCCTCTGATGAAGCTTCCAGTCCTGTCATGGGGACCCCACCCTGATCACCTTATCTAAGTTTTATGACTTCCCAAAGGCCCCATTTTGAATCACTGTATATTTGAGGATTAAATTACCAATGTGTGAAAGTTTGGAGACACATTTAAAGCATAGCGATTATATAGCATTCCCATAATAAATCCCACTTGGTCTCAGCCTGGAATTCGTTTTATGTTTTGTAAATCTGTTTATATTTTATAAATTCTTTTATATTGTTGAATCAGATTCGGCAATATTTTGTCTCTTTTCATAAGGGATACCAATTTATAGTTGTCTTTTTGTAAGGTAATGTTGGCCTCACAAAATGAGTTGGGAACTAGTGTGTTTCTCAGCTGTTTTCTGGAATATAGAGTTGGTGTTATTTCTTCTTTAAATGTTTAGTAAAATTCTCCAATGAAACCATTTTCACCTGGAGAATTCTTTTTCATAAATTTTAAAATTAGGAATTTAGTAATTACAGAACTACTCAGTGTTTGAATACTTTTATGATTTTTTAATGAATTAAGTCTTTGTTTTGATATTTTGTATTTTCATGTTATTCAGTCAATGTATTTTTTATTTCCCTTTGTGTAGATTTGATCTTTGATTGCTCGGGAG